CAGATTTTTACAGATGCATCTGGACACTCAAATCGGATTTCAAAGTGTCTTCTGCGTCACTCGCAATGCGACAAACAACAACGATGTCAAATCCGGAGTGATGAAGGGCTGGGACTCAAGAAGAGCTCCAAAGATTCATGATTATGAAGAGAACTCTGAAGAGTTTGGGGATGAAATGATGCTCCTCCATCTCTCCAGCATCTGTGTTTGAAATCTGCGTCACCAGCGTAGCTACGTAGTTACTGACGACTACGTTGTTACCATGGTAACCCATGCAGATAGACTGGTGGAGTCTGGACACACAAATCTGATCTGATCACTCACAGAGCGGACAATCAACTCTCTGATTTGAGAAATCCGATTGGCCTGCGGTCTGAACAGCCAAACACACTCCACAGGAAGTTTGTGTGTGTTAAATAAATAAGTCGAGGCTTCAGAGCAGCTAGTTTCATTAAAAGAGTTTAATGGTATTAATAACTGGTCAGGAGGCCATAAAGAACATTTACTGCGTGAAAGGCGTCTTAAACAGCCATAGAATACAAGCAGCACAATGAACTGAACATACTTCATAGAACCATTTTCACATTAGTTACAGAGGTTTGTTTACTATTATTTACACATTATTTATAGTGCAAAGTACACACGCAACCATCACTCAGATAAACAGAAAAAGAAAGTGTGGCCTACAGATACTGCAGTAACACACACATACAGTCAATGTGTGCATTCGTGTGTGTTTATATTGACACAGCAGCACCTGCAGGCTCAACTTAACATTAAATACATTTTCATGAAAAATGACATAAAGCGATAGTTCAGCAAAAACTCCAGTTTACCCTAAACGTAGTCGCTCAGCCAGGACAGATAATATAAGATAAACGAGCTTTGTTCTGATTGGCTGCCCTGTATCGTGCCTCGCTCAAAAAGGACTTTGATCTGAAACACTTATTAGAACTTCAGTATGAATGGGTGGGGCTAAGCTGCTGCAGGCTGAATGGGCAGGGCTAAACTGCTGTAGGTTGAATGGGCGGGGCTAAACTGCTGTAGGCTGAACGGGCAGGTCTAAACTGCTGTAGGCTGAATGGGTGGAGCTAAACTGCTGTAGGCTGAATGGGCAGGGCTAATTTTTTTTGGGGGGGTGGGGAGGGGTTTGGTGGAGGTTGGGTAAATTTGATTGTTGCCAAACTATCACTTTAACATGTTCCCAAGTTTGGATTCTTCCTTTACATATATACAGTTCCTACTAACTGCATGATTCCTTCATTTCTATTGGTTAGATCGCTGACCACACCCACTAGAACACTCGGACAAGAGCTAACGGAGCCTCAGGGAGACACAGAATCAGAAACAAACTCGGCTAATCTCACAAGCTGCTCTAAAAGAAGAGAGCTGAGGCTCTATGGGTCAGCAATAGCAGGCCGGATCAGCGGTGCAAATCACTGACCTGACGATACTGTTCGATTATGATTCTTTAGGAAACAATTCAATGTATCATCACAAAAATCACCAAGATTTGATTCAGTTCAGTTCGATTCCTGTTATGATTTGTGATTATGCTTACAAATACACTGAATACACAAATGTAGCTGGAACTATTTACACAGACAGACAATAAAAACATCTCACCTAGCTTTTCAAATCAGCGCATGGCAGTTATGGGTGTAAAAATGCATCTGTACACTCATAAAAGACGGTTCTCCAAAGGTTTTTCAGTAAAGACAGTGGTTGTGTATAGAATCATGAGCACTCAGAACCATTTGCATGCTTAAATGATTCTTTGCATAGAGAATGTGCTGTATGTGGTTCTACATAGCAAGGGTTCTGTTATAGTTCCGAAGTCAAACTTGGCCGAAGTCAAACTTAACAATAGAAGAACCCTTTTTGGCACTACAAAGAACAAAATACAACACATTTTCCATCAATCTGAAGAACCATTTCACCATACATAGAACTATTTAAGCATGCAAATGGTTCTGAGTGTTCACAGATTTATATAGAACCGCTGTCTTTATAACCCTTGAAGAACCATCTTTTTAAGAGTGTAGAAAGCTGATTTTGGATGATAAGAATGCATTATAATCAATTACAACAATACTTATTAAAATATGCACTAATTTTTAGCCAAAATAAATTCTAAGGCTGTTTTTAAGTATTAAGTTGTATTTTTTGTAATTTCTTTATTGTCAATTCCACTAATGTGTAAATATTTCCTCCACTTACATTTACATGTGTGTATTCAGAGTGTTTTTCAACATGATTCTGAACTTGAAGACGGAAACTGAACTGTGGTGAAATATGAGTCTTAATGATTCATTGATTCAAATCCTTAAGAATCATAACTGAACCGAATCATTTTGAACACCCTCGATCGCGATGTATTTTAACACCTCTGCTGTTCGCTACCCAGGCACCACGATTAAAACGCTACTGCTAATCTGAACCTGACCACAGACGTCCACCTAAACGGACAAAACACACAATCACACCTGTACAGAGCGCAATTATCATTAAGAACACACCTGAACCCAATGATGACCATTCAAAACACACAGAGGGAGGAAAAAACAGGACAGAGAAAATCACACAGAGAAAAGGCCGACATCACCTGCTCCTCTTCATCTAAGCACGATAAATAACAGATTACTGACTCTGCGCATTAGAAACACCTATACATGTTATATACAGACAGATTTGTTCAGATTAACTCTCATTAGTTCTGCTCAAACTTCACAAACTTTCAATTATTCTCCAGAAGAATTAACATGAGGTGACAAAAACGCACACAAACGGTCAGAAACGCAGTCTCGTCTGTTCCTTCCTCTTTTCCTCTTGCTGGACGAGAGAGGACAGGAGAGCGGCTGTCCGTGGCTTTAATGTGTATTATCTGCTTCTAACGTTATATACGCAATAAACAGCAATGAATAAATAAACGAGTAAAGCTGTTAAACTACGAGAGAGAGAGAGAGAGAGAGAGAGAGAGAGAGAGAGAGAGAGAGAGAGAGAGAGAGAGACTGATTGTGGGTTGGGGGGGATATGAGACAGTCTGGATGTTATAGAAGCTGATATACCTTCATCTTAATCTTCATCATCATCATCAGCTTCTCCCGTTTCATTCAAGTATGGAGAGAATGACTAAGCTGGGTGAGGATTTGTATACAGCACCAGTCAAACATCTGGACACACACTCTTCAAAAAGATGGTTCTTTAAGGGTTCTTAAAGAAAATGGTTCTATATAGAACCTTGAACACTCAAAGAACCCTATGCATGATTAAAGGCTCTTTGCATCATGAAAGGGTTCTCTGCATGGTGAAGTGGTTCTTCATATTGATGGAGAATGTGCTGTATATGGTTCTATATAGAACCTTTTTGAAAAGGGTTCTATACAGCTCCAAAAAGGGTTCTGCTATTGTTTCGATATCAAGCTTGTCACAACAGCAAAACCCTTTTTTGGTGCTACACATAACACTTCAAAAAATATTATAAAACCATCTACAGCACATTCTTTAGTAAAGAAAATGGTTCTATATAGAACTATTTGCATGATTAAAGGGATTTCTAGATTGATGGAGAATGTACTGTAGATGGGTCTATATAGCACCATTTTGAAAAAGGGTTCTTCCATTGTAACAAGCTTTACATCGTAACAACAGCAGAACCCTTGTTCACAGCAAATTTCCATCTATCTAAAGAACCCTTTTTAAAGTTTGTACCCACAGAAGGTTTTCCTAATTTCGACTGTATTTATAACACTGAAAACCTCAAAACCGTGACACAACTATGGACGCACGATATTGGAATCATCAGTATCGGCAGATGTTTATAACTGGTCGATATTGCAAACTGATATGTGATGATGTGCTCACTGAACTCCAGAACAGCAGAATGTTTAGGTGACACACTGAAATAAGCCTAACCCTACACAAATAAATTATATTTTTCTCTGAAATGCTGATCCAGGTAGACGTAGCCCCAAATGTTTATGTATCAGCATCGGCAGATATGTACATGACAAATATCAGATATCAGCATCCATAACTCTTGCATCCCTAGAAATAGCTCATGTAAAACTACGCAGCTCCAGAAAAAAGTGTTTATTTTAGATCATTATAGAAAGTAGCACCTCTTTGTCTTCAAACAGCTTTGCATACTCTTGGTGTTTCCCTCAAGCAGCTTCATGAGGAGCCACCTGAGATACTTTCCCAACAGGGCTTAAGAACATACACGTGCTGCTCTTGCGGAAAGCCATTACATTTTTATATTTTTTTAATTTAAATTTTGAATGTTTTGAACGTAACTTCTTACACAGACATCAGCTTCACTGATGTCCTATTCACAATAAGTAAGATTTTTTTTTGGGTGAAAAAAAAAACAGATGTGATTTTTAATGCAGTGGAACCTTCACATGAAGTCCAATATGTTTTTTTCCACTCTAAGAATGCGAGAAGATGATGTAAGAAGTAGGAAAAATGGAATCCTAAAGTAGTAGTAGTGATGAATTTATCATAACGGACTTGGATTCACAACGGACGTCTGCTTGGTTAGAAAAGACAGGAAAGATTTTATACAGTGCTGCAGCTTCTAGATATGAACATCATTAAAGAGCCCATATTCTACACATTCTCACATTTTATCAATTTCTAACATTAGTTTGGGTTTAATGTACCAAAAAACATTTTTTCCCAAAAATAGGCTGTTTTGTTACTGTGCCTTTAAGACTGATGGATGTAAATGAGCTCTGCTCTGACTGGCTGTCCTGTATTGCACCTCATTCATATAGTAGTGCAGGCTGAAACACCTCAGCATGGATGGGTGTGGCTAAACTGCTGTGGATATATGTAAATGTGATGTTTTTTTGTGACATCACCGAAACAAAGAATTGAAAAACAGGCTGTTTTTTTCAGGTGAGTTTTCATATATGGACTGTATAGACTGGGACATACAGCAAACAGCACTTTTGGAAACACTGTACACACTACATCCAAGTGTCTTTACACCAAAATCAGGTTTCCATGATTATGGGCCTTTTAATATGCATGTTCATTCATTTGCATGTCAGAATAAGCCTTCAGATCGAACTGCCTTTAAGACATTAAAGAAACACATTTTAAGTGTGTCCACACGTTTGACTGGTAGTGTGTGTGTTTGGTTAGTCCTGGTTGTTTCCTGAGTTTTTGTTGCTGTGAAAATAATGTAAAATATGCTGCAGAGGGGAGAGAGAGAGAGAGCAGGGAATACGAAAGAGTTTGGTTGTTACACTGAACTAGAAAGTGAGCCTTCGTCATCATCATCATCATCATCATCATCAAGCCTATTGACTGTGTTGGAGACATTTTAGATCAGGGAGATGATCCTTTTCCATTCCATTCAAGTGTGAAGAGGGAGACTCAGCTGTGTGTGTGTGTGTGTGTGTGTGTGTGTGTGTGTGTGTGTGTATGTATGTGTGTGTGTGTATGTGTGTGTTTATTAGGTCCACCTACCTCACTGGCCATTATATCAGAAACACCTACCATGTACTGAAAAACACTAATATTACATTTAATATCACAACTTAAATACATTAATACAATACATAGTCACTGTATTCATATAATTTGTGTGTATTGTAATATTAGTGTTTTTCTGAGCAAGTTTACGTGACGTTATTAATTAGGATGCAAGTGTTTCAGGATGCAGGTTCACATTAATGACAGATTTGAGTCAAACAAATGTGAACAATCAAGTTAGAGAAATTAGATCTAAGCAAAAAATCTGATTCCACCTAGATTCTAACTGTGCATCTCTAATAAATATGTGTCCAGATATTATTGGGTGGTGGACCTCTTAGCATGGACGCAGCATGGTAGCATAGTAACATGTGCAGCTGTATGCAGGTGTTTCTAATAAAATGGCCAGGTTAGCTGAGCAAGTGGAGCTAAAAAATGTATGTTTATGTGTTTGTGCTGCTCCCTCAGCCGCTGGTGTTCTGAGCCTCTGCTGTCTGCTTGTCGTCCACAGCCGGTTCTGTGAGATCCGATAAATCGACCTCATCTTCATCATCGCTCACTCCGCCCACGTCTTCCTCGTCCTCATCCTCTTCTTCCTCCTCGGAGCCGTGGCGGCTCTTGCCGGACAGCTGCAGGTTTTCCAGAGTTGTGCTGACCCACGTTTCGATCATGCTGCTAAGTGGGGGCACCTCCACCAGGATGGGCTCTGGAGTATAATCTTCATCGTCATCGTCATCCTCCTCTTCTTCCTCCAGCATGCCGGGGACGAGGGTGCTGCTGGTGCTGGTGATGGAGGAGTTTAACAGGCCCCTGCAGCTGCCGTCCAGAGACCCCGTCTCTGTGCTCTGCTGCGACGCCCACTCCAGCCGGTCCTGTCCCTCCGGCCCCGGGGGGTGTGTGTGTGCGGGCTGCGTGGACGCTGGCTCTGCGGGAGGAGTGTGTGACGTCCTCTCGCTCTCTTTCGCCCCGCTGGACGTTTTGTTGGCAGATTCGTTCTCCAGTGGCTCTAGACCGTCTGAGTTCTCCACCATTGTACGCCAGTTGGTTTCTGCAAGTTAGAAGATTTGACACTTTAATAATTACAGTTTAGCACAAGATACTAAGTTAATATTTGGTACATTTGTTAAGCGTAAGGTGCTGTTTTCTGTGGTATACATCACTTTATGGCTGTCCTTGTCAGACATTAGGGACACATGTTTAAATGTAGGCACGTAATTTTTAAAAAAAAATGTAGTAAGTTCATAAAACAGGAAACCTTCATTATTTTAAGACTAGTTTTTAAAAACGCTCCATCTTTTCAAACTGCTGCTAACGCTGTTTAACTTATTTCCACTTATTTCCACAAAATCAACACAATCAGCTCAAGACGGAATTTGACCAGGAGCATCCAAACTTTTGCATAGACCTATATGTGTGTGTGTGCGTGTGTGTGTGTGTGTGTGTCGCACCGTATTCCTTCTCATTGACCTCCGAGATGGGTTCGGAGATGACGCTGCAGAAGGATATGGCGGATGCAGCTGATGGGTTTCGGGAGTGCCCCATGTGGTGTGAAACCTTTTTGACGTTTTTCAGAGCCTCCTCCGCCTGCTCCTGCTCCAGAGCCGACACCATCTCCTTATACGCCCTCCGCGCCTCCTCCGTCAGAGACACCAGCCGGTTAAACAGAGCCTGCACACACCAACCAGGCCTTACATCAGGACGGTCATGTGTCCAGATCAGATTTTTTTTTTACGAATACTAATACTGATATAAAGAGCTAAAAACACAGAGGATCTGTAATGTCAGCCAGTATACAGCACTGAGAAAAAGTCTCAGGCACCTGAAAAAATTATATTTCAAAAATTTTTTGTGTTAATATGTTAATTTAAACATTTCCTGTCTTCTCCTCGAGGAAGCCCAGCCTTCAGTGTTATCATCCAATACCTGCTTTACCTACAAAAAAAAAAGTTCTTCAAGGGTTCTTTAGCAAAGAGAGTGGGTCTGTATAGAACCATGAAGACTCAAGGAACCATCTGTATGCTTAAAATGTTCTTTGCATGGTGCAATGTTTCAGATTGATGGAGAATGTGTTGTATATTTTTGAAAATGGTTCTATATAGCACCAAAAAGGGTTCTGCTGCTATTATTACGATGTCAAGCTTGTACAATAGAAGAACCCTTTTCTACTGTTATCAGTTTGACATCATAATAATACAACCGCTATCAGAAGAACCATTTCACCTTGCAAAGAACCTTTGTGTTTACTAAAGAAGAACCATCTTTTTTAAGACTGTAATCAACACTTCATTATGTTAAATCAGGTGCTGCTGATGGAACTTGGTAAATCTTTGATGGCTGGAGGTGTCCAGGAGAAATCTGGAACCAAACTTTGTTCTTCAAGAATCTCACAGGATATCAACTCCTTTTTTGAATATATATATATATATTATTTATTTAATTTTTTACTATTTTTGTGTCTATTTGCATTTATTCAAATGATTTAAGGTGCTTTTACAATCAAATGAAAAAAGTCTATCACTTTTGCACAGTACTGTAGCTTTAAATGGTCAAAAATGTAACAATGCAAACTCAAACACTGGAATTCACCATGTGTTCATTAATTAATCTAGCCTTCAAACAGTACCAGACCACTAAAATGGTTCCAAAAGAAACAAGGAAAGGCTTCAGTACATGATCTAACACATACATGATCATCTGAGTTACACTAGCATTCAAGTCTGCAGTTACTTATTACAATATTTCTAGTTATTTCATGTACAACAGTAACTAATTGCAAGTTTGAATAATCTAAACAAGGGCAACAAAAGGTAATTTCAGATGTTTTAGTCAACATCTCAGGCATTTTGGCAACCATAATAAGATATTCATGAATAAATAATAGACTGTAATTATTTATAGGAATTTTTGTTTTAATATGTGATTGTTACTTTTGAAATCTACTCATATTTATTATGAAAATTGATTTTTATTTTAACTTCATGCAGCCATTTACACCTAATAGTTGTTCATTTTTTATTCATTTAATTTTTAAAAACCCTTTCTACTAATAACTCATAATTATAGAAACCCATGAAGTGAGTGTGTTTGTGTGTGTACCTCTGCTCCTGAATAGTTGAAGATGCCAACCACGCTGACAGGGACGAGTTTGTTGACGCAGCGGCCCAGCGCTTTACGACCCAAAGCAAAAACAAACGGGATCTCCTGCTCCCGTGCCATCGCAATCACGTTATACAGAGCCTCGTCCAGACCGCCTAAACACACAAACACAGATAGGCACATTCACATGGCAATGTGATACAGACACAAGGAACATTTGTTTGCAAGTTAAAAACTGATGTCTGCTGCACTCTGACTGTCAGTAAAAGTACGTGCCAGGATACATGTGATGTCTGAACTGGACAAAAGTATGCTACATAATTAGAAACAGTAGCAGCTATTAGGAATAGTAGACAACAATGTTATCAAATGTCATCTTATAACGAAGTCTGTTCACTCTGCGGCCATCTTAGCAACACTGCTGGGCAGTTATTTCCAGCCATATAAGACCAAAGCACTCAAAACTGAAGGTCACATTACTGTTTCAAACACATGTTTCAAACTTCTGATAAAATCTGACAAAAACCTCAAGAATAATTTGTAGCATTTGGCTCAATAACACACAGAAACGTGTTGAGCATCACTAGCTTTCCCATTCATATTTCAACCAGCAACAGTCTGCTCCTCCTTTAAACATCTCTGATGTCATACACTGGCCACGTTTACAGGCAGTCGGAAGAGTCTAGTCCGATTGAGGCCATTCGGAATACAATTTCTGATGGATCTGATTTAACAAGGTGGATAATCCTGTAAATAATCAGTTAAATAGAAGAATAATATTTATGTAAACGCCTGTGTCTGATTACATTTCCACTCAGAAAGTATGTTCTGCGCATGTGCATTGCATCATAGCAAAAGTTTATACCGTTCAACATGGCTGGAGCAGAAACTGGTCTGCAGAGGAGATGAAGTTTATGCTCTGATCTTTAAAAGACGGCGGTGGGACGGACGTCCAGCTTATGTGTCTCAGAACACGACGTCTTCCTCTCGCCCTTCTTTAATAAGGACATGTGAAGGACGGTTTACTGAGTCAGACATCAGTTTAAAGTGATTAAAAGCTGCTCGTCTCACGTGATGCTGGTTGTCATGGTAACGTCTACACCAAGTGGTTCTATACGCATGCGTGTAATTTTGGATCAGATTACTTGTAGTGTGCATGTAAACAGAGATTTTCACCAGATTGTTGAGTAGAGTGAGCATAAACACAGACAGTGACAGTAACCTCTTAATCAAGTCTATTAGTGAAACTCCACACTGTTTGAGGCAACTGTGTGATGATTTAGGCATGCAGTTAGCACCATGCTAATTGGTGGGGTATAAGCTTCCATTAACTGTTAGCTACTTTAGCCTTGTAGCTCCAGTGCTAAATCTACAAAAGTAAACTTCAGACACCAAACGTGTCCTGGCTGATCAACTACATCTGGTTCTGATAACTATCACATTAAGCTTGTGCGTCAGTGTGTGGACCCTCACCCTTGGCCTGGATCTTTTCACAGTTCGGGGAGATGATGACACATCTGATCTTGTTGAGCTTCATGTGCTTGGTGACTTCTCTGAGGCCCATGACGAGGCGGCGTTTAGCTTTAGCTTTAGCTGGTTCTTTCTGGTACACGCGCTCCTGGAAGCGCACCAGCTCCTGCAGCAGCAGAGTCACGCTCTCATCTATCTCCTTATTCAGAACCTGGTTACAGTACCTGCACAGAGACGGAGACAAAATCAACACTGTTACATTCTACACTTTTAAAAAAGATGGTTCTTCAAGGGTTCTTTGGTAAAGAAAATGGTTCTGTATAGAGACATGAACACTCAAAGAACCCTTTAAAGGGATTAAAGGCTTTTTTGCATTGTAAAAGAGTTCTTTAGATTGAGAATGTGCTGTAGATGGTTCTATAGCAAACCTTTTTGAAGAGGGTTCTATATAGCACCAAAAAGGGTTCTGCGATTATCACAATGTTATAGTAAAACAACCCTGTTTGGTGTTATATAGAACCCTTTTCCAAAATATTCTTCTGTAGAGAGAACCATCTACAGCACATTCTCCACCTATCTGAAGAACGCTTTCATAATGCCAAGAACCCTCTAATCATGCAAAGGGCTCAGTGCGTGTTCATGGCTCTACGTAGAACCTTTTTTTAAAGAACCCTTGAAGAACCATCTGTGGCCTCACGTGAAGTTTTATAATGACTCACTGTATGCTTAAATGGTTCTGTGCATGGTGAATTGGTTCTTCAGACTGATGGAGAATGTGTTGTATATGGTTCTATACAGCACCAAAAAGGGTTCTGTTATTGTTACAAGCTTGACATTAACGCTTTATAAAACCCTTTTCAAAAAGGTTCTGTTATTGTTACAAGCTTGACATTAACGCTTTATAAAACCCTTTTCAAAAAGGTTCTATTTAGAGAATCATATACAGTACATTCACTATCAATCTGAAAAACCATTTCACCATGCAAAAAATCATTTAATCATGCCAAGTGTTCTTTGAGTGTTTTGGTTCTATATAGAAAGACTGTCTTTACTAAAGAACCATCTTTTTTAGGAGTGTACATTTCAAAGGATAACATCTTACTTTTGACACCACTACACTATATTCTAATTCTATCATCTTATTGCTCAGGCGATAGTGCACTCACTCTCTGAATCTCCTGCTGTGTATTTTGGTGATGGCGGAGGTTGCCATAGGGCTGCCGATGCCAGAGCTGGCGGGGGAACCCTGAGAGACCGGAGTGATGCTGTAGGGAGAGTTCTGACTGGCCGGAGAGAGCGAGGCATCACTGGGCATGCTCAGACCATTCTCTATAAAACACACATCACAAGGAAGAAAGAATAAACACCGGTTTCTCTACAGTGTAGATAAGGCTGGATTAACCCGGTGAGGCTGCAGCTAGAGGCCTCAACCACCAGAGGGCTCCACCAGCAGGAATAATAATGAAAGCACATGAAGAACATGCTCACGCAGAAGATTTGTTCTTTTAGGCTATACATAGATTTGAGTTTTTGATTTACACGGCATCTGACATCTACTTTACAACTTGCATTAGTAGCCAATGTATATTTTACTCAACCTAACCTTAAACACTACTGCTAGCCTTATACTAATATTGCAAACAACATAGGGGCACTAACAAAAATTGGCATTTTTACAGCAGTGGTAATAAAACAAATAAAATAAAGTCAAACAAAACCCTGCTATGTAAGTGCCAAGTTAGTGGTGGTGTAGCTTAAAAAACTGGAGCTCTGTATGTTAAAGTTTCACAATTACCAATGAAAAGATTAGGGGTGTCTCAATAAACATAATAACATTGATTTCTTCTGATATGTGGGTATGCAATTTGTATATATATTTGATTCACAGCACACACCCGCATATCAGAAAAAACGATGTTTTCTGTTATGCTTACATACATTTTTTTAATACTCTGAAGAAAATGTTGCATATGGAATATTTAGATAAATAGATGAATAAACATACTGCATTAAAATAAAAAGTAAAACTAGTCAGAAAACAATACATGCATACACACCTTCCTGTGAGACCATTTCCTGTGTGAGGGTGTCGGTGAAGTTCAGGTCGTCGTCAGGCTGTTCTTCGGTTCCTGCCGGCTGATCCACACACAGCTTCGCCTTCTTCACCTCACGCTCCTTCAGGATCACCTACACAAAATAATTAACTCCATGATTATCACTGTCAGACTGTAAATATTACACACACTGCAGATTCATACTGGATTAAAAATGCCTAGTTGCTAATCACGTGAATTGTATAACCAGGTCAAATTAATTGAGCTGCATCAGGACTTAGAAGCTTATAGGCAGAAGGTTAATTAGAGCAGGGTCATGTGACTCCAATGTGTTTTGAACATGTTGCGGTTCTCTAAAGGTGGCACTGTTGTTTACCTTCTTAAGTGCTGTGGGTCTTTTCACTTTGGGAACTTCTCTCTCTTTACCCCTCTTTATTCGAGGTGGGGTGGAGTCCAGCATGTTGTGGGGGGGTGTGTATGGAGTCTTTATCACACCTTTACTGACCGCATCCTTACTGTGGAACACTGAGGTCGTCCCCACTGAAAACACACGCACCTTATTGTAGTTACTCATTTTTCTTTACAATTACCATCATCAACATCACCATTACTAGAGGTAGTATGTTATATTCTTATTAAATACATTGATTATATAGCATTTAGAACCAAAATTCAACATAAAACGTAATGAAACCAAATAAAACTAATCATAAAATGTGAAAAAGTGTATGCGTATGTATATACACATATAAAACAAATAGTACTTAGAACCATGAACACTCAAAGAACCCTCTGCATGATTAAAGGGTTCTTTGCATCATGAAAGGGTTCTTCAGATTAATGGAAAATGTGCATGAATGTGCTATAGATGGTTCTATATAGAACCTTCAGGAGAAGGGTTCTATATAGCATCCAAAAGCGTTCTTCTAACGTTACAAGCTCGACATCATAACAACAGAAGAACCCTTTTGGGGTGCTAAATAGAACCATTTTCAAAAAGGTTCTATATAGAACCATCTACAGCACATTCTCCATCAATGTGAAGAACCCTTTCATGATGCAAAGAACCCTTTAATCATGCAGAGTGTTCTTTGAGTGTTCAAGGTTCTATATAGAACCATTTTCTTTCTTCTTAAAAACCCTTAACTCTGCATTTGTAAAGCACTTTGAATGACAGCAGTGTATGAAAGGTGCTCTATAAATAAACTTGCCTTGAAGAACCATCTGTTTAAGAGTGTATATATGTAACACTGTAATCTAATATAAACATCTGTCACTGTTCATGAGTAATAAACGCTGTGGAGGGCCTGTGTGTATGTAAATGAGTGTGTGTGTCTATGTAAATGAGTGTGTACCTGTGTATGATAATGGCTTAGTGTTGTTAAGCTGTCGAGCCTTCATAGCCTGCTGCTGTTTCTCTAGAGCCGCCAGCATGTCTCCCAGATCCAGCTGCACTGGGGTCCGGCTCTTCTTTCCCGCGGCTTTCGTCAGGGCCTCCTAAACACACACACGCACACAAAAACCATCACCTTCACTGGTGTGGGATTTCTCTGCTTTGCAGCCACAAGTAAATAGTTGATTTCATTTGAAACCTTGAACAGACCCAAAATAAAGATCTGTTTCCATTTAAACAGCAGTGACTTCTGTTATGACTATAAGAACAGACAAAACGAGCTGCTGGTTGATTTATCCACTGTTCTCTCATAAGCACTGTCCAGTGTACTCTGCTAAATTTACTGATATTGCTGCACCAGTGACGTGTTTTGCTTGTAAACTATACTTTAGACTCTCTGCCCCTTAGTGATAAGCACATTTACGGCATGAGAGCAACAATAAATAACAGTTTATCAAGAGATCAGTGGGACTTGCTACTTAAAAAATGTATTTCAACAAGAGGACTTCGTAGAGCTCAAGCATGCCGCAGCCGGGCTTCAGCTTGGAACTAGAGACAGTTCATAGTGTCAAATAAGGAAGAGCCGTTAAAACAGAGGTGGGCAATACTGCAAAAATATATTGTGATACTTCAAAAAATTTTCACCATATACGATTCTCAATATTTATTTTTTCAGACATCTGATCAGTTGGAACACAGAAAAAAATAACCTATATTTTAAAAAAATACTATCAAAATCTTTAAATACAATGATTTTTATTCTATATTCGGCAGTTAAACAAACTAATTTTGCTCTCTTTATAATGAAACATGCAGTTGGTCAGTGTCTACAAGTACTGATGATATACACAATATGTTCAGGAAAGCATACTGTATTGTATTGTGACATAATTTATCATGGTCATCTTGCCCACCCATATGTAATTTGTGCTGTTAATCATTTATCATGTTAATGTGTTATTAACTTGATACCTTTGACGCCACTAATATGAACATGACTTCAAAAACTGATTCAAATAATTCAAAACTGATTCAAACTGAGAGTATCCAGTGTGATATCATATGTGTATGCATATTTGAATTCTGAAGAATCAAAATGAATGAATGCATCATTTCACTCTCAGAAAGCGGGTTCATGCGAGTGAGTGTACCTGTAGTTTTTTCTGCTCCATGCTGATTTCGGAGTACTCCTGTGCCGTAGCCAGAGCTGCTGCGAGGGCTTTTTTGCGTTGGCTTTTGGCTCGTTTGGGCACTGAGGTGGTGATGGGGATCGGCGTCTGGACGATGTTGATTGGGGAATTCTCCGGAAGGTTATCCAACTGTGCACAAAGCACACACAAACATCATTTACAGATAATTCAGTAGAATTATTCAGACATAAGCACATAAGCTCCAGCTGAATTGTACCAGAGGTTTGGGCAGTTTGAGCTGGACTTGTTCCGGTTTGTTCCGCTGCACTGCGCCCCCTGTGGCCAGGTCAGGAAACTCCTCCTCGTCCTACACAGCAAATCAACCACAATTTGACATTATATGAATGTAATATCTACAAACATGAAGAAATGTACAGACATCAAGAATGGCTGCTACTGCTAATGTACTTCAGTCCGTGTTAGGGATGCTCATTTCAACCTTTTCTCCTGACTGATAGCCGACACTCGTTAACTGACCATTAACGCTCAAGCTTTAAATGTGCTATTTAGAATGTATGAGTGTGTTAGACGGTTAATGTGTGCAGATCACAGGTGATGTAAGTTGTATTGCACTCTCTGTGTGAGTGATAGGAGTACCTGGAAGTAGAGGGGTTCAGGTGTGTGATCGTTATTGGAGGTGCTGGGTGTGTTCGTGATGCTGGGGGTGCTGGGGGTGTGTGTGGTGGGCTGAACGCTCTGCTGGACTCTTCGCTGACCACCCACTGGCCCTCGCTCCGTTACTCCCCCAACGCGGCCACCAAAACCCATCGGGAACTCCTGTTCAGAGAAACAGGGAGAAAACATACTCTTAGATTTGCTGTTTTAACAAAACACAGCATCTCTCAGGAGAAGGAAAACACATTCAACCTTGAATATTAGTTAAAAGGTTAAAGGAGACCTGTTATTATCATTTTCGCTGTTCATAATTTTATTTTTGGTCCTCTAGAACAGATTTACAGCTTAAATGTTCCAGAAACACATTATTTTCCTCATACAGTTCACCCCCATTCACCCTTTGTCTGAAACGCTTTGTGACTTTGCAGAACATTACATGCACAAAAAGCTACTAAAGAAAAGGGAAAAACCGGAAAAAGCATGACAGGTCCCCTTTAACAGATTTAGCCGTCCCTATAAGCCTGCATGATGTGGGTACCTGTCAGTAGCTGAACGTAACCTGTGAATTACCTGTGGGTAGCTCCTCTGGTCAGGTATTTTGTTTCTGTGGAAGGGCGAGGCTCTGTCTGACCATGGCTTCTGACCAGCCTGGGACGCTGCATTCACCCAGCTAACTGCTACATACACACACACACACACACACACACACACACACACACACACACACACGCACACACACAGTATTACTTAAAAGACAATTTTACATGTACATCAGCTCCATAAGATTCAGATACCCAAATAAAACAGGCAGAGAGAGAAAGAAACAGAAAAAGAGAAAAATACATAGTCACTGTCAAAAATATGTATCTCCAAAATGCTCTAAATTTTTAATGTAAGTGAATGTAAAGAAGTTTTTTTCTAAGTCACTTTGGAGCATTTATATTGGTCCATTCATCATGAGAAGTTCACACAATTCAAAGTGCAGCTATTATGTTTGTTGTGTCCTCACTTCACTTTTTTTCACCCCAGAATTCCAGCTACCCTAGTTTAGAAACTTCATGGTCCAATGAATATGGCCCGAATTACTTAAAAAGATATTTTTACATTAACATCTATTATCAGTTAAAGATGTTTTTTCCTTCTCCTGAAAAAATACCATTTTGGAGATACGAGGTTTTGTTCCAATAGTGGCTGTGTTTACATGGAAACATTTTCGCTAATCTGAAATCATTATATTTAGTCAAGATAAAAAAGATAACATATAGATTAAGACTGAGGTGTTTGTATCTCACTCTACTCAACAATCGGATGACAATCTTAGTTTACATGCACACTACAAGTAATCAGACCCAAAATTATATGCATGAGAAGAGAGTCACTTAGTGCAACATGTGTGTCAGAGTGAGATGAGCAGCAGCGAGTCCTCAGAGTTTTCAACAGCTTGTACCATTCAGGCTTTCAGCTTTGTAATCCGCCATTTTGAGAAACTTCCATCCGGGTTTAATTTGCTCTATAGTTTGTGTGGTTCATAATATCATAATATCGCTGTTCATAATATCTTTTAAATGTAACCTGTATGCGACATTAGTCTGAACAAATCAGCTCATTAACTGACCCACATGCACAAAAGAACAGAGCTTCACGTTACTTCACATGGCGCACTCATCCAGAGGTAAACAATCACAACCGCCAACGAACGCCAGTCGCTCCTGGAGGGTTCAGCTTCATCTTTACCAGCATCACAGGAGCGATCATGAAGCTCCATTGACTGACAGCTGGGCTCACGACCCAGAATGTGTTCTAGTTCGCCGTAAAAAGGGCTCGGTCACTTGGTCCATGTCCTCAGAGTCTTTAAACTGCTTTCACACTTTTAACTGTTCTTTGACGCTGAAGCCTCATTCTCTTATGGCCTCGTTCGGCCCTGTCTTTCGAAATCTTTTCGAACACAGAGGGATGAGTCTCTTCTAATTTTTTGTACAGAAACATCTGCCCAAGTGTTTATAAGGTCTCAATAGCACAAAACTATGACGAACGTGGAGTTGGATTGACGTAAAAGTCGCATGAATTCCAATCTGGCTGTTCAGACTCAGCTGCGTTGCTGCATATCGGATATGTATTTCAGTACCACATGTGAAAGCATCTCAAATCGGAAATGAAAATGTCAGATTTAATGTGTTTTTTGCTGTTCACACTGACACACTGACCACACATCTATGTCACATATGATGCAAAAGATCAGATTTGGACCACTTTTACCTGCTGTGTGAACACAGCCAGATACACGGCTATTATTCTTCTATGCAACAGATTATTTATAGGATTACCCACCTCATTCAGTGAGAAAGTAACTGTATTCGAAATGGCCTTAATTGGACTAGACTATTCCGACTGAGGTGAACACGTGGACGTATTCTATTCCAAATGAGCTATTAGTCATATTATCAATGGATTATCAGGCTGCATGTAAACATGTACTGAGAGAAACAGAGAAAACTGACTGTACTTACCAGTCATTACTCCCGCCTCCACACCCTGCAGAGACATATTTACACAGTGAGATCATTCATTAATAACTATGGCACCAAATATGGACCAACTACACCAAACTTTACCACAAATAAATTCCAGTGTGATTTTAAGGGCATTACAATCTCCCACAATGCATTCTGTAATTTCTACTGAACATCATAAATCACTACATCAGCTGAATGTGTATCAAACATGTATCTGATGCCTCTCTGTAGAAACAGGTTCTCTTAAAAACGAAGACCCTGATGCTGCTCATCATACAGCACAGACACTGACTGCTAACCTGAGGAAACTGCAGTCACGGAGAATTAAATGTGCAGTTAGTTTTATTCTCGTCTGCTGCACTTTTCTAAACATTTTGCTCATTTCTACAGTTACGAATAACACCAACCTCAGCCTAATTAAACTGAAACTAATGAAATTAATGCTGGTTGGTTTCAGGGCTGAAAAATTAATCATATTTATAGAAATCACAATTTGAAAGAGCGCAATTCTCAAATTGTAAGAGTTTCAATTGTTATTTATAGTCTACATTTTTAACAAAGTGGACCAGTGGTTTTAAGAGGGCAAATTTCACCTGATAACATGGAGCTTATAAGCTGTCTGTAGATGAGTTAGACCAATCAGACACATCCATGTGCTGTGACATCAAAACCACAACTACCCGGCAATTAAAATCACAGTCGCTATACTGGTCAGAAATGTTAGTTTATGCTGGTGAATACTGACGCAGGCTGATGATGAGAAAGTGTCCAAATTCATTTATTGATTTTAATGCTATTCTATACTAAATAGTTCGCCTTTATCATGGTTTGTAAAATCATGTTATCAAGTAATTTAAAACGTTATAAAAAAGTTTTGATAGCGTGTTGATGTTATGTGTGTATCAGTGTGTTGGTGTGTGTTGTTACGTACCAGTGTGTTGGTGTGCTGGTTGCTGCGGTTTGCTGCCCCCTGGTGGTTGTGTTTGGGACTGCAGTAACCACTGTCACTGTCTATATCAGCCTCGCTGGCCCCTTGCTCGCTGGACGATTCGGCCGGCTGGGAAACGCGCCTGCGCCGGGGTTTACCCCTCCACTGCAGCCCACCGTCTGAAGCACACCTGCTGCTGCTGCTGCTGCCGCCACACGCTTCCCCAGGGAAATCTAGACACACACACACACACATAATCACACTTCATGGAAATATTCCACCTTCTCAAGAGATCTGAGCTGTTTATGAAGTTACATTAGCTTTCTCCCATGTGGAAAATATAACCCACGTTTACACACACAAACATCATAACTGTGTTGACCAAATGCAGTGGTGGCTGGTATAAATGGGCTAGCAGAGAAAATATCAAAATAATTTTAAAAATTGTGATCAATATCGTTTTATTTGCTGTAAACTAGTAACTAGAAGCTGATTGTTCTGGACTTATTTGTTTGGAATTATTCTGTTTATCAGCTCTTATGTTTCTTGTTTTTCATTTGTTCTCTTCACAAAAAAAGTTTTTTTGTGTGTTATAATGAGTAATTCTCATGGTAAAGTTATACTGCTGTTATATGGTTAAACAGTAAATGACTGCAGAGCTTTTGCCCCAGATCGCAAGCTTGAATCCCAGTGGTGCCACAACCAAAAAAGGTGCTAATTAGGAGTGTAACGATTGTCTAAATCCACAGTTCGATTTCTTATCTTGTTTTTTTCTGGTTTGCTTAGTTTTTGTGGGGGTAGGGTGCAAATAAGAAAAAACATGTAAAATGTCTGGGTTTTATTATATTTGGAACACTAAAGAGAAGAACACTAAATAGAATAAATAATGACATAGTATATGTGTGTGTTATAGTGTTAACTGTGAAACGAAAAATGAGTTTTGTTACATTAGTAATGTAATGAGAGCTCAAAAAGCTGCGGTGACAGCAGGTTGGGGGGTATGTATGAGGCGCGGACGTTTGTATCTCGGTTTCTGTCTCGGTTTCAGAATTGTTACACCCCTAGTGCTAATTATCAGCGACATTACTGGCTGATATTATCAGCCAAATGATATATCAGTCAGACCCTGACTGACAGGCGTAATTGTTTTAGCCCCCTTGTCCAATATTCTGTCCAGTGGTCAATGATTAAACGTAATTAATTGCACTCAAACGCTCACTCACAAGCAGGGAGAAGCGTTAAAACTACTCAGACTCAAAATCAACATTTTAAACGGTGGTTACTTCATGACTGGCAGTGACCTCCAACACTACACGTCATGCTAAAGCAGGGAAACTATGTGCTTTTCACACCTGTAATTCAACATTCCACACACACACACACACACACACACCCTTTTATTATGCTTTGAGTGTTCTCTCTACACAGAACCTTTTTCTTTACGAAAGAACCCTTGAAGGATCATAATTTTTAAGAGTGTAGGCTATGCAGGACCAAATGAGTGAACCAGTCTGCTGCAGCACCACCCTGAGGCAGAGCAGTGCTGCAGCTCTAGTTAGTTCAGAACACCAATGACAGAAGCTGACTGCGGGTGAAGCAGATAAACAATGACAGCAGAATGTCAAGTTTATATTCAAGGACCCCCTAGAATTCTGATTTTGAGACATTCAGGCAGTCCAAGTAGTTCATTAGGAAATCCTCAGGACCCCCTATTTTTCACACCTTGTTTTAAAGCTATTCATCTGGCCAGTATGTGTTTATTTCCTCAGAAAAAAACACTAATACTCGATTAAATGCAAATAACATAGATACAGTAAACAGGGATTTACGTGTGTTAATGTGTTTGATTAACCTTTTCCTGCTGTCTCCTCAAGGAAGTCCAGTATTAACTGTAATCATCTAATACCTGCTTTATCTAATCAATACTTCATTTTGTTATATTAGGTGCTGCTGATGGAACTTCAAATTAGCTTACAAGATATCAAATACATTTTTCAAAATGTACTTTTTTATTGTTTTTGCATTTATTTGCATTTCTTTTAATGGTATATGGTGATTTATAAGCAAAATCATTTTATCGCCAAGATAATATACATAAAAACAGTAGTGTAAAAGCGTCAAGGAAGCAGCAATATTGTTTAACAATATTTATCTGTGTATTAAGTGTGTTTTTGCCACAAAAAACATTAAAAAAACTTAAAATAAATACAAATAAACATAAGCCCAGTATTTAGCAGTCTGAATGTGTTGTTTTCAGTAAAGTTATGAACATGCAGGTTAGAAGAAGACAGGTTTGATCTCTGACTTCTTGCTGCTCTTCAACCATCACGTGGATCTGTTCAGTTCCATCAGCAGCAGCTGATTTAATTGAATAAAGTATTGATTAGATAAAGCAGGTACTGGATTGTTACATGTTTATTGGTGTTTACTAACAAATAGATGTTGATCAGCCTTATAGATCATTCTCTCAAATCAGAAAAAACCCAAATACTGTTATATGTTATTAATTCCTAATATCCTCAGTAATTCCTCTCAGTAAAAGGAGCACACTTTGTTTAGATGAGGATTCTGACTTTCTAAAAATGGTCAACACCCACAAACAGGAGAGGAAAAAAAGGTGTGCTTGGCTGTATCTGCTGTGGATTAGCGTGTAGCGGCCACTTCCTGGAGAGTGTGACATCATCCTACTCATCATGACTCAGTCAGCAGAGACGTCACCTGACTGACCATAAACCCTCAACATAACCAACCATAAACCCACAAACCACAACAACAAACACCCAGAAACACCCAGTCTGAGCCCATTTCATCACAAAAACTCTGGTTTAACGTCCTCGATCTGTATAATCTGATTCACTGTTAAACCCGGAGTTCTGACTCACTCCTGCAGCTACGAGGAAAAGATTCCTGATAAAAACTCTGTCCAATAAAACTGAGGCACTGATAGCATCTGAGTGTTTCAATATCCTCCTCTTCGGTTCGAGTTAATCTGGGTTTTTCTGTTTTTGTCTAATTTACGTGTTTTACTTCATAACCCTCCCATCGTTCTTCTTAAACTGCATCCGAAATAAAAGTCTAACAACAGGCCAAAGAACCAGAGTGGAACTCAGGGTGTGTTTATGTTTAAGGTTAAGTTTAATTCTCGTGTGTTATCAATAACAGCTGATAAAACGTCACACTGTAATTACGCTCTGAATTACAGCCGGTGATTGAGGAACGGCCTGCGAAAGAACAGCTACGATACTATGTAACCTGGTTAAAGATAAGGTTTATAGAAACAGCCTTTAATTAGAACCACATGCGGCATGACTCAGAAGAGGATTAGATCATGAAGAGAGATTGGTGTGTGTACAAATGTCAGGTATCTGTAACTGTTTGTATTGTACTGGCTGAAATAAAACACAGTTTCCGCTTACGCAAGGCTATCTTTTTTCATCAAGGTGTCTGCAGGAATCCTCAAGTTAAAATAAATACCCTTCAATACTTTATGTGTCACTTTAGTTATAATTAAAGAGCCCATATGCTACATTTTTCACTTTATTCTTGCACCCTGAGCTCCACTTACAACCTCTGTGGGGTTTTAAACACCAAAAACAGTCAGAATTCATTTGTACGTGACCACTTTCCAACCTCTCTTTATCCCTTACAGTAAAACAGGCTGCTATTACTGTGCCTTTAATTCTTATGTATATGAGCTCTGTTCTGATAGGCTGCTCTGTATTGTGCCTCACTCTAAAAGCAGTCAGGGGCTGAAACACTCCTTATAACTTCAGTGTTAATGGGTGGAGCTGAATTGCTGCAGGCTGAACAGGCGGGCATATGTAAATGACCTGACTATACATGGACTGGGGAGGGAATGACACACACTGATACTTGAACAACGTTCACATACTACACCAATCTCTTTCATTTAAAAAATAAACTTTTTTATTAGCTTGATACTTAAGGCTTTTAATTTGTCATTTCAGACAAATTAAGGCTTTCTAAGGACATTTTGCCAATTATTATAAGGTCAGAAGTACACAGTGTAGTTTTCTTGATTTTAAAAATTGCACTCAAAGTTGAAGTGATGTAAAATACCACATTTTGGTTATTAAAAGTGCAGCACTAACTGTTAATACAAAAATTTATTTTGGAGAAAGATACTAACAGCTAACATTAGTCCACCGGCTTGCAGTTATCTTGTTGATCTAATGTATCACAAAGCAAGTCTAGCCTATAAATATTGCCCTACATGATAGCATCAAAAGTACGTGCTGATACCATACCGGTCTGCTGCGCGGCATCCACCAGCAGCACCGTCCGCGGTCTCCCATCAGGCCCTGCGGCGCCCACCTCCTTCTGCACCGCAACGCTACGCATTACAGGCCGCTTCGCTCTGATTGGCTGAGCCATCTGCTGCAGTAAACAAAGAGCAAAAAGGACGTCACATGGCTGAAAACTGCAGAAGAAGCCTGAACTTCGTTTATAATATTCCACGTTTATAGATAACAGTGAGTCATACAGCATCAGAAACCACATAATTAAGGCCATTATGCTTTGAGACACAAAGCTGAGATTTCCCTTCGTATTTGGCACCTTCTTGAATTTTCCCTTCCACCTTAAATGGTGCAGCAGTTACATTCTGGCGCCTCTAACCGCAAAGTCCTTAAAGGAAAGTCTGTTCATTCAGCCATCTTTGCAACAGAATTGAAATCACTGATAAAATATGACAAAAACCCTCATATATAGTTTGTAGCATTTGGCTCAGATATGCACAAAAAAGTGATTTTCGGGTTGCTACTGCGCCTGCACAGATCTCCACAACAAGAAGGAGGCATTCCCTGCTAGCAGCATAACCAGAAAGCTGATTGGCTCTTTTTACTGAAGGCGTGACTTTCTCACAAACAGACGCCATGTTGAGCGTTACGAGCTTTCCCATTCATATTTCAACCACTGACCGTCTCCTCTTCCTTTATATCATCTCTGGTAACTGTCGCCCCATTTAAGGTGGATCAGAAAATTAAAATAAGAAGCTGCCAAACAGAAGACAACGGAAGCGAGTGTGTGATGTCGACATGCAGTTAGTACCGTGCTGACTGTTGGGGCAAACACTTCCATTACCCGTCAGCTACATTAGCCTCATAGCTCCAGTGCTAAAGCTAAAGTAGCAAACTTCAGACACCAAACATGTCTTGACTGATCAATATAGTTTAGGTAAAGGGGACAACTGGGGGCCTTTTTTGTAACTGAAATCATTGCTTTATGACTGTCACACACTGGAGTATAATTCAAGAATGTAAGATGTGCAAAATCACTGACCAATCAGTATGGTTATGATGACTGGTTAATATACAATTATATTATATATTTTATACAAATTAATATTAATAATAAAGATAATAACAAGCAATGTCATTTCTTAGCTGTAGGCTATCGTTGGCAAGCAACATAACAATAAACATAACTTCGATAATAAACATAACTTTTACACACTGTCCAGTGCGTGTGGTGTGTATTCGTACCTTGGGCAATACGGGGGCTCGCCCCATGCCCCTCCCTCTCTGAGCGGCCATTCCAAAGGGCTGGGTTTGTGGGGGGGGTCTCTCACAGCCATCTGTTACGGGGTTGACCACGCTGGGCTGCAGGGGTCCGGCGTATGGGCTGGGGAAGGGCTGATAGAAGCCCATGACGGGGGGACAGGGAGCCGGCATAATCTGGTAGTAAGTGTAGTCGTTAGAGACGGGGGGCTGCGGGGAGGACAGGATGGGGTACGCCAGGTAAGGACCACCGGGGGCAGTACCAGGCTGCTGCCAGCGCAGATCCCCATTATATACCGGCAACTGCCTACTGAGAGAGAGAGAGAGAGAGAGAGAGAGAGAGAGAGAGAGAGAGGGAGAGAGAGAACAGAGAGAGAGAGAGAGAACAGAGAGAATGACAATTCAGATTTGTTACTGAGTTTAGGGGAAAAATATCAATGTTTATGAAAAGAAAAGAGTTGTAATCTGATTATATACAAATGCGTATATGGGCGTTAATGTAGTGAAGGAAACTCCTCTGGCTGTGAATGAGCTCAGGCTGAGTTCTTACTGCTCTGCTGAACTCTGAACTGTTTCTCTGCCCTGAATTACAATCACACACAATCCAGATCTGATAAGTCTCGCCTCATTAAGGTGAAGAATCCTCTGAGAGCTATATCAGAGTCTGGGACTAGATTCACAAAAGCTTTCTTAAGAAAAAACTTGCAAAAGTTCTTAAGACAAACAATAAGAAATTCATAAGAATGTTCTTAAATGCGATTCTCAAAAAAAAACATTGTTGTTGAATATTCCTTAAGATTTTTTAAAGAAAATCTTCAATGTTTTCTTATGTTGGCTACGTTGCATTTACCACGTACTATAAACAACACAAGATTCATTCTGAATTTGTATTAACTGTTTAATCACTCAGAGGAGCAAAATTTTTTAAGAAAGATTAAAACATTTTATTAAACAAGATCTAGAGATGATGGAGGAAGAAACAGACAATTGGAAAATACGATAATTGTGGGGTGACGGACAAGGATGAGGAGCAGCAGAGGCAGCATCCGAGATAAATTTATATGCTGACCCCATCACTTCTTACAGCCTGAGACGAATGTTAGGCTTTCACAATGTTTGGAAAACATTTAAGAACATAATATTTTCAACACTTGTTTTTAGAATTATTCTTAAGAAAACAGTTAAGAATAGAAAATAAGAGAATTCTTAAGAATTTATTTGATGAATAACAACTTTTTTCTTAAGAATAAAGTTAAGAATAAACACACATTTAAGAAGATTTTCTTTCTTAAGACACTTTCGTGAATCCACGTACTGATTGTATCATTCTTGCTGGATGAGTGTGTGTGCTATGACTGTGTCTGCGTTTTTACGACACTATTAGCCCCCGAGACCCAACAAATTCGACATAAAAAAGAAAACAAGACAGAAATCTATACAAAAACATCGTCAGTCTTAAGTCCACTTTCACTCACTATACTGTTCTTTCAGTCAGCGAGGGCAACGCGGGACAGATGATGGCTTAACACTGTCAGCTAATCAATATCGTGATTCACTTCCAACAATTTTTTACAATCGACATGACTAATAATGTCAATTAGTTGGTGCAGCTGTATAAAAAAGTAACTGTGCCAGTCGCCGACCCACAGGCCCCAACGACGGCCATGAGGGAGGGCGGGAAGGTGGTGCCCGAGCCTTGCACACTGACGAAAGCCACGAGTGACAGCGGGAAGACGATAAGAGGCATGAACAAAAGCACGCGAGTCCCGAACTTTGCCTCCTGGGCCCTGCCTCCTGTTCCATAATGAGGCCGCTAGACTATGCCTCACTTTCAATCCCGCGGCAAAGCTGGGGAGCGGGGGCAGTAATGAGGAGGCAGGGCAACGTGCTCTTCTTCCGTCTCAGCTCAGGAGCTCAGGCTGCCCTTAATGAGAGCCAGCTGATGCTGATCTGGTGGCAGAAACATGAGCACCTTTAAAAAGAGCAGAGAGGGAACAGAGAGAGGAGAGGGATGAGCAGCAGCAGCAGCAACAAACTGACGAGCTAAAAAGATGAAGTTTGAGAAAAGTACAGTAGTCATGGAGTGGTGACCAGTTTTGATTTAGTGAGATTTTGTTTGTGTTTTGTGTGTGGAAAATAAAGAAAAATGGCTGCTGCAACCCTCAACCCTGTCGCCAGTGTCCTTCCTGTACTCGGGGTAGCACAGGCCCTGCTGCATAGGTGCCTTCATGCCAGAGGAAGAAGCCATCAAGACCCTCGTCCACCTGTACCTGGCCAGCTGGCGGGAGTGGCAGGTAGGTAGCTGTGGATGGTCAGGAGTCTGCTGGTGAAGCGTCACCCCTCGGCGTGCCTGGGGGTAGGAGCTCCCCACTTATCCCTCCTAACTTCTCCGCTCCCTGCTCTGAGAAGGACCACAGCTCTCCTTCTCACTCCTCCCCATCCATTTCAATACAAAGTGAGCATAATTAGGCCTGTTTAATTGGATTTAGCTTCATTTTTATCATCATCATCATCACAGCATTTTTATATGTGGCACTACAGGTTCTATTTCATTTATTTACATCATGCATCAAGAAGCCATATCGGCCAACCCTACTCCATATCTGAATCGAAACTTTTCCAACGACACCCTGCCCTGTTATTACGTCACCTGTAGAGTAAACCGTGTGACGACCAGCTCTTTGAGAAAGCACCTTACACACAGAACCACACACACTAGCAGTGAAAAACTTCCTGCTATTGAAACTGAACAGGAAGGAAACAGGCAGGATGTGCTGAAGATCTCTTTCACACAGATTCAGCACAGTAATTCAGACTTACAGTCCAAATCACTCACTGTAATTCAATAAATATCTCCGCTGAGAAGGATCACACTGAGATAAACGTCATTTATCACGGTGAGGATAAAACACTGTGCAGCGCTGCGCCCTAAGCAGTATTTCACAGGTTTCAGATATTCAAATACTCATTCTCAAAATAACAATAACATTTACCTTTGTATAACTAACAATAACTTTAAACAGGCTCGCTACTGCAGTTAAAAATGTATCCAGTAGGTGGCTATGGTGTTCTCATAGTAGAAACCCAGCTGACTGCATTTATTTTGCTTTTCAAATAAACTCAGCTATAATTTGTTTATTTGTAATATTTTCAACACATTATTAATAGCTGTTCCATTTAAAGTCCTTCGCTGACAAAATGTGCTGAAGTTTGGATAGATAAGATGATATCAATATTATTATAATGTGCTTTTCGGAGTATAGTGTGGATATCACATTGCTACATTACAAAAAGCTGTTTAACTAGATTTAGTGTAATGCAGCTTGTGAAATTTTGAATAAAAATCACTGCGTTTTTGATGGCAGTTTTTAAATGGCAGAATATTGTGATGTGTATTGTGTATCACAAAAATGGCTTTAACTATCAACAGCTGATATTTTTCTGTATTTTTCCAACGTGACAAATGAATACAAAAAAATGAAAACACTGCCCAACTCAACCATTACCGCTCAAACTTTGTGTGCTTTAACCCTCACGAGTCACTAAATCATGTGTGTCATCCAGACGTCACAGCATAAAAAACAAAATCACGTTAAGCACTTGCTGTCAAAAATCATATTCACGTGTGCATGAAAGTAAGTATTATTAATCTTAATATTGTCATCATTATTTGTCAAACGAAGAAACAGGAAAAAAATGTCAATCATTTTCAAATCCGATTTTATGCGTTTTCTGGGTTTTCTGGGTCCAATGTATTGACACAGTTTGTCAAAGAGAAAAAAAAATTGTCAAATCATATAAGATGTTGGGGTAATCAAATGTTGGCATAATAAACATTTTTAATGTGGTATATAAAGGTAAAATCAAAAGTAATCAAAAAGTCAAAATAGCCCAAAATTCTACATTAATTGGGAGGCAAGTGCCGTTAGGCATATGTGACATCAGCCTGAATGCCAAACAGCTCCTTCTTTTCTGAATTCCTTACGCTCCCATGAAAACTCGACCATTGCTTTTGCACAGTAGCAGCCACAAGCGCACGAGAAGCTTTAACCGCACTGCGCTCTGTTTACGCCACCGTTACAGGTGTGCCATAAGCATAACGAAAGAACGCAGATGTTAAAACTGGTTCTGACTGATTAAAATATGACCGGATCAGCTCCGATGCTGATCCTCCAGAATGGATCAGCACATGCTTTCTGTGTGTGTGTATGTACCTGTTGGGTTGGTTCTCCTGTACGAAGGGGTAGCAAGTGATGAGGTATGACGGGATTGGAGTTGGCTCAGCCCCCCCGCCGCCCTCTCCACACACACTCATGCTCAGCAGGCTGGAGTCCACTCCTTTCTTCTGGGGAATAAACGGCTCGACCTCGGCCGACAACTTCACATCCTGCAACACATACACGTAGAAACATACACCATGAGCGGCAAGAAAAACACTGTCATCGCCAGTGTGTCGATCCAGGAATGACATCAAAGGGCTATAAATGAACTAGGGATGGGCATTAGGGGTGGGCAATAGGATGATACTGTATCATTACTGTATGAATACTATATCATTATCGTAAAGGCCCGGATATGAAGCAAAAGAACACAGTAAGAGTCCATAGGCAAGAAAATAGCACAATAAGAGCACCTTGGTCACAACAGATTTGATAGTGTTCAACTGATGTCACACTTGTTACCGCTGCCACATTGTTGACATCCCACCAGTCAGCGCAGTGAAGACTGTGGTGTTCAGAGAGCCACTGTTTGCACAGTGATAGCTAATTAGGCAATCTGACAGATAAAATATAGCCACGCCGAACAGAAACTAAACACTGTGAGCTTTTACAGCGTCCTGGCTGTCCGACACTGTGAAGGAAAAGAGTCTGAAGAGCTGAGCTAGCCAAGGAGAAAACTTGGAGTTAAGTTGGTACTAAAATACTATCAAAAATGATTTTTGACAACGACAATGATTTTTATTCAATATTTGGCACAAAATTGATTAAAATTAAATTACCAAATTAAAAAAATTAGTTAAACAGGACTAATTTTGGTCTCTTCATAATGAAACATGCAGTTGGTCAGTGCACTTTATAGGCCCAAATGCATTTCACCCCTCGCCCCTACCACTCAGCCTTACCCCTCCGTTTTGTGCATTCACATCTAAGGGTAGGGTAACCCAATTCTTGATTTTTCAAATTTCAAATTATTTTTGGAAATCACGGACACTGTGTCCTCCCGGCTAAAGACTATCAGGCTTGTTATCAGCTCACAGTTCAAAAGCCAGCATCCGTGATGGTATTGGACTCCATTAGTGCACATGACATGGGTCACCTGCACATCTGTGAAGGCAACATAAATGCTGAACGATACATACAGGTTTTGGCAACATATTCTGCCATCCAGACGACGTCTTTTTCAGGGAAGGCCTTGATGATTTCAGCAGGACAATGTCAAACTACATTCTGCATGTATTACAACAGCATGGCTCTGTAGTAAAAGAGTCTGTTTGCTAAACTGGCCTGCCTGCAGATCAGACCTGTCACCCACTGAAAACATGGCACATTATGAAACGAGAAATACAACAAAGGATACCCCAAATTGTTGAGCAGCTGAAAACCTATATCAAATAAGAATGGGAAAACATTTCACTTTCGAAAGTACATCAATTAGTCTCCTCAGTTCCAAAACGCTTATCGAGTGTTGTTAAAAGAAGATGTGATGTAACACAGTGGTAAACACGCCAATTTTTTTGGAACGTGTTGCTGCCATCAAATTTAAAATGGGCATGTATTTTAAAAAAAAAATAAAACTTTCAGTGTTTGATATGTTGTCTTTGTATTACTTTCAAATACATACAGGATTTAAATGATTTGCACATCACTGCATTTTTCTTTTCATTCACTTTTTTTGGAAATGGTGTTGTAATTCCCTGAACCTGCAATGATAAGATAAGATCGTCCACAATGAGGAAGGCCAGCTGGACCTGCAGCCAGAGAGATACAAGCTGGAGATCATTACACAATTACACAGACACCCGCAGATACCTGCACAGGTAAGACCAGCTCTCACCTGGAACAGCACAGCCAACCTACAGCAGGAACACTACCTGCTCATTGTTTAACCCTTCACAGTCTAGCAGCACGTTCAACTTACATTAAACGATCACTGCACGCTACACTCTTAGAAAAGATGGATCCTCAAGGGTTCTATAGAAAATACAGTGGTTCTACACAGGACCACAAAATAACCATTTGCATGATACATGGTGAAACGGTTCTTCAGATTGATGGAGAATGTGTTGTATATGGTTCTATATAGCACCAAAAAGGGTTCTTCTATTTTTGCAACCTTCACATCGAACCCTTTTTGGTGCTACATATAACTATATACAACACATTCTCCTTCAAATTGAAGAACCAGATTTAAGCATGCCAATGGTTCTTTGAGTGTTCATGGTTCTATATAGAACCATTTTCTTTACTAAAGAACCCTTGAAGAACCATCTTTAACAGTGTAGGGCCTGTAAGATAAGCACATGTTACGATATTAATACTGATAAGGATCTAAGACATCTGATAACTGATAATCTGAAAGATAAAACCGTATTTTACATGCCTGCCATTTTTCTGACTTGTTTTTTTTTGGTGTCAAAGTCAACAGAACCTCAGCAAATCGACTACCTAGATACTGTGGCTTCTGGAACATCTAGTATATCTGAAGAGTATATCTGAAGAGTTCTTTAATAACAGCAGCTCTACTGATGCAGAGAACACACGGTAAACTCTACAAACCCTCACATCATTTAAACACTGAGTCCTCGTTTTCCTGTAATCTTCGATCTAAATGTCATGACTTCAATCTCACCTCTACATCACTGTATGACTTTAATGACATCACTGTGCACCAGTGGGCGGGGCAAAATAAAATTAACCAATAATATGAAGTTTCACCGCGTGCTTCCACCCATCACAGAAAGAAAACACTCAGAGAGCCACCCTGATACCAAAAACTCACTAATACAGCGCAGATCAGAAGAACCACAGTTTAACTCTGAAGACGCCGAAACTCAGAGGCCACGCCACTCTGTCCCACTGAGGGTATATGCTAATTGAGTGTTTGACTACAATAAAAGACAATGAGAGAGAGAGAGAGAGAGAGAGAGAGAGAGAGAGAGAGAGAGAGAGAGTAAAAGAGTAAGAGACTGAAACAGAGAGGATTGAAGTGATAGAGGCAAAGAAAAAAATGAGAGCAAAAGAGGGAGAGAAAAGGAGAGTGAAGAAATAAAGAGAGGGACAAAACAGAAAGAGGAAAAGAGAGTAGAAACAAAAGAAAGAAAGAAAGAAAGAAAGAAAGAAGCAGAAAATGTAGACAGAAAGAAAAAGAAATAACGAGAGAAGAAGGAGAGTGCATGAGAAAGACCTTAAGAAAGAAAAAAAGAAATAAAGAAAGAAAGAAGAAGGAAGAGAGAGAGAGAGAGAGAGAGAGAGAGAGAGAGAGAGAGAGAGAGAGAGAGAGAGAGAGAAACTAGCAGGAGCTGAGTGAAAGTGGGCGAGAGACACAGAAAGCCTCACTGTCTCACTGCACATGCCCGCCACCCCACACACACTTCCCTTCTGTGTGTGTGTGTGTGTGTGTGTGTCTGAACTAAAGCAGAAAGAAAAGATGAGATTTGAGAATGCATAAAGGTCAAAGGTCAAGTGTGGCTGTGAATGGACAGAGTGCGTGTGTCTGTGTGTGTCTGTGTGTGTGTGTGTGGACAGATGGTCATTGTTCAGCAGTGGACGGTGGGCCGAGTCTCTCCATCACCCCATCCCTGACCACCTCACTCACTGTCTGTGTTCTGTACAGTAAGGAAATGAGGACTGAACTGCTGCAGCAGGAACATTTAAGAACACATCTAAGAACATCTAAGAAAACCTCAGAACATCTAAGAAAACCTCAGAACACCTAAGAACATCTAACAACACCTCAGAACACTCCAGAACACCCCAGAAGCCCTCATAATCACACTGACACTGTACGACATATTGACATTTATAAATATGGACATAAGCACAGCTTAACAGGGGAACGCCACCCATTTTTCTAAAAAAGAAGTTGTTTACAGTCATTTGGTGTGAAACGCTCTGCTCTAGAGAAACTTACAGAGTCAGAATTGTTCACAGTGCTGGTGATGGGAACCAGACATCCACATCTAAAAGCTCCCTCACTGAAAGTTATTACATTAAATGTAATGTCTGAGACATTGTTTTATGATTTTTATGTTTTAAGAAAATACAGTCATGGTGGAGGGATAAATGCTGGGCGCTGTGAGGCAAAATAGTACCCAAAGATTCCCACTATTTTCCATCATCAACATTCCATATAAAACTCGGAAGACACGTGTAGGATCACTGGTGGTTTTGGATAGTAAATAAAATGTCTATATTTTTGTTGTAGTCATGGCGACCCCTGGTTCCTATCGCCACCACTGTAAACAAATCTGAACCATTTCACACCAAACCACTCTGAATCACTCTGTTTACAGCTGACACACTCAATTATGGGGGAATTTTGAAAAATCAGTGGAATTCTCCTTTAAGCATAATGATGAAAAACCAAACTAAGGGGGAAACGGCAGGGCTCTGGTGGTCTAAATGAGCTCAGTGCATCTCCACTGACACCTCTGAGCTTTAGAGTCGTGTTAAAATAGTCGCGGTTCAGGATTAGCCTCACAGAGGGAGAAAGAACAGCAGCAGATAAGCTAATTACACAACGAGAGTGAAATCAGAGCTGGGACAGTGTGTGTTTAGAGACAGAGACATCTTAAAGAATCACAACTGAATCAAATCACTGAACTGATTGTTAAACAATCATAACTACATCAAACCTCCGAATTATTTCTTAAAGAATTAAAAGTAAATCAAATCGCAAAAATGTGTTCTAAAGCATCATAATACAATTAAATCAGTGAATCTTTTCCTAAAGAATCATACTTTAATTGAACTGGTGAATCTTAAAGAATCATGACTGACTCACATTACTGAATCTTTTCCTAAAGAACTCTAACTGAGCTGCACTGTTGAATTGTTTGCTAAAGAATCAAAATTGAATCAAATTGATGCATTGACAGTTAACTAATCATGACGAAACCACATCTCTGACTTATTTCTTAGAGAATCATAATGGAATCAAATCGTAAAAATGTTTCTTAAATCATCGTTATTTATTCTTAACTAAATAATTCAATCACTGTTGAAGTGTTTCCTAAAGAATCACAATTGAAACAAATTGCTGAATTGACTATAAAATAATTATGACACAATCAAATCATTGAATTATTACTTAAAGAATCATAACGAAATCAAATCGCTAAAGTGATTCTTGAAGAATCACGACATCTAATCTCAATTTTTTCCTAAAGAATCATAATTGAATCAATGTGTTAAATCATTAACACTAGTTAATTAGGTATGTTCTCCTTATTTAACATTTTTAAACTGAAATATTTGTTTGGGCTTTACTGAAATGCTGCACTCTGTGAAAGTGAACGTGCTGAGAAAATAAATCTTGCTGTATTGAGTTTACTGTACACAGCTGCTCCAGCTATATATGAGTATTCAGTGTATTTTTAAACATAATTCTGAATCGTTCCAGTATAACTGAACTGATTCAAATCAAAAGTGTGGCAAAATCATGATTCAGTGAATCATTTTCTAAAGAACCGCAATTGAATTGAACTGTGAGGTCAGAGATTTACATCACTCTTACAGAGGCAGCAGTGTGTGTGTGTATGGTGGTACAGATGTGAAGGGCAGTGGGGTGATGTGTGATGTATGATGTTGGATGCTGGATGTGTTTGAGGAGGTGGGGGGGGTGAAGAAGCGGCCTTTTGTCCTTTCAGCTCTTTTCTCTCCTCAACTCTGTCAGTTGTGGGAAATAAAGGCTTCATTGTCAAGCTGAACGAGGGCAACGGGGTAACAGGAATAGGCACTAAATGTCTTTAAAATATATATAAAAATTAAATTCAGTGGTGAGGGGCCTGTACCACACTGCAATACATGATAAAAATACTGGTAGTGTGATAGACTGTTAAACACTGACTGAGACATGCTTGAACTGAAATGCATTCCACTATTTACTGAAACTAGCTCTAAAAAAATGCACATATTTTGCGCATTTTGCACATACATTCACACTCCAGTACACTTCTGTGCCTGGAGCTGTGATTGGTCCGGATGCTCACAGCATACAGTAGGCACTGTGAGTGATTAGAGGCTCATTTGCATATTGCCGCCTTCTGTAATATCAAAAGCCAACATCACAATAACAACTAAAAAGCCTACACTGTTTGCCCTATATGGTACAGGTTTAGGGCTGAACGATTAATCCAATTTTATATTCAGCTACGGTTTTGGTTTCCAATGACAATGAAAACAAGATAATTGAGATAAAACAGTTACTGAGCTGCATTCTGTTTCTCAATGATGCTCTCGTTTTGTCTCGTGTTATAAATCTTTCCTTCACAGTGGTGCGCTTACACGCCTCCCTAAAAGCCCAAACTCTTCTCAATTATTTTGGTTGAATTTATTTTTATTTATTATTTTCACATGTGTTCAGTAGTTTTCTATACATTGTGGAAATGCACTACAAGACAGTTGAGCTTATTTACTTGCAATATTTTTATCTCATTTATATATATACACATACATAGTCATACATTCATTATTTTTTTAATAATAGTTCAATAAATGCCTGATGTTTCCAAAGTCAGTGAGTAATCATGTTAAATAATCATCATCACAGTATTGACCAAAAATTATCGTGATTATGATTTTTGCCATAATCGAGCAGCCCTAGTATGGACTGTGTCTTGTGTCTTTCTTTGACAATGGTTCTAAAAAAAACAAACTGGAAAATAAAACTTATATCTCTGTACATTTAGCAAGCATTTGAGCGAACTAGAATAAAATAAACAATTACGTCATGGATGGAAACAGAGCATGAGGAACTGGTGAATGAGATTGGAGAGTTTTCGAGAAAATGACACGGAAAACTTAAGAGGAGGTTAGTGTTACGGCACAGAGGGAGAAGCATGAGTGGAATGCGGTCGTGAATGCAGTAAAACCAGCGCTGTCACTCCGTGGTGTGACTAAACTGGCAGCAGCCAAAATGCAAATGTCAGAAATACCACAGGTCAGGAGTTTCACCTCCACCAGACCATCCTGAACCACCATCTGCAAATCAGACCTCAGTTTCACCTCATGCCTAAACTTACACCCCACTGTAAAGCACTGTGGCTGTAGAGTGTAACTACTGGGACAGATCAATTTTATTGAGTTATAAATGCAGTAAAATGAATAAAATGTAGATATTTTAGCGCTGTAATTAGGGCGTTAATAGGTTATGTCACTAGACATCATCAGCACTTTAATGACTGTTTCATTACAAACATGCAGTTTAACTGGATTTAGTGCAGCGTAGTGTGTGGAATACTGAAACACTGTATTCATAGTTTTTCATATAGTTGTTAAATGTTGCTTGTAGAGACGGGCGATATGACAACATTTATCCTTATCATGATAAAATAAATCACAGTAAGCTTTTCTGAGCATATATTGGATATCATCAGTACTTAAAAACACTTTCCAACCACATGTTTGACTTGCATAATTAGTCCTGCTTAATTGGATTTAGTGCCATGTGTGAAATGTTAAATACAAATAATCAGACTCATAGTTTTTGATGGTATTTTTAAAATGTGGCACTGCTTCATCTGTTCAGACTTCTCAGATGGCAGAAAAGGTAGATATTGTGACACATCATGTATCATGAAAATGCCTGGAAGAATTGTGATATCACATTTTTGCCATATCGCCCAGCTCTAGCAGTAACAGCATCACCTAACCGTTCTGCTGTTGTGGAGTAAACAAATACATCAACAAATATCAGATTAAAATATCAATCAAATATAAACATCCAACCAATGTAATTATTATCCACCATACTGATATGATCCTGACATCACAGCGCATCCATAAGATTCATATATCAGTAAGTGTGCTCAATAATAAATAGACTCCTCAACGTGGTGAATGAAATATACAGAATATAACCAACATTATTAGCATTATAACACTGCAGCTCTAAAGCTGAAAAAAACATTTCAGCCTTGCGGTTTCTTTAGTAATGACCATTTGTGGCTGTTTTCGGGAAATACTTTCATCAGAACTGATCCATAAGTTCTGTGTTCAAAGCCTGGCCTTCCTGTGAAGAAGCTTCATCTGCTTTGGCCTCCAGTTTCTCTCTAGGAGCCCAAGCAGCTGGCTCTGACTGAGCTATGGCTAAAGGTCTAAGTTTTAGTCAATCAGGAGAAACTGCAAACTCTTCAGACACCTTAAAGAGGAATTCCACCCATTTTTCAAAATTCCTGCATAACTATGTGTTTAAGATGTAAACAGAGTTGTTCAGAGTGGTTTGGTGTGAAACTCTCAGTTCTAAAGAAACTTAGAGACAGAACTGTTCACAGTGGTGGTGATAGGAACCAGACGTCCACCTCTAAAAGCTCCCTCACAGAAAGTTATTACATGAAATGGTTGTGAATACACTGCCTGATGTCTGAGACATTGTTTTGGCCTAAAGCAAATTTTTAAAACTCCAGCCATGGTGGAGGGACACATATAAAGTGGTCTGTCAGGCAAAACAGTTTCCAAAGAATTATTTTCAGATTTTCTGCTGTTTTCCTTATTTTTTTCATATAAAACTCAGAAGATACGTGTAGGTTCACTGGTGGTTTGGATAGTAAATAACACGTCTATATTTGTGTTGTAGTCATGGTTTACATCTCAGACACTCAATTATGCAGAAATTGGAAAGTGGAATTCCCCTTTAAGGCATGTATGATGTTCAGTCTGTTGTTCAGTATCAGTGGTGTCAACAGAAACCTCATATTTATGGCTAAATCTTTAGGCTGCGTCCAAAATCGCACACTATACTACTTACAACAGTGTGTCAAAGTAAATACACCAGCACTAACAGCTCAATCATTAGTGAAAGTAGTCTACGCACCTAAAAAGTCTATTAACATTAGTTCCTTGAGTGAACCATGAGTCATGTGTAGAAAAATATGAATGGTGAACTGTTTGGCACAAAAATCCTGACATCGTAAATATAACTGAAGAACCATTTTCAAAAAGTTCTGTATAGAACCATATACATACAACATATTTTCTATCAATCTGAAGAACGATTTCATTATGCAAAGAACCATTTATACACACCAATGGTTCTATACAGAACTCATGGTTCTAAATAGAACTACTGTCTTTACTGAAGAACCCTATCCGTTTTAAGAGTGTGCCTACAATGTGTGTAGTAGCTGTAATGTGTTTGTGGACGCAGCCTGTTCCTGTTCAGCGACAGACCAGAATATTTTGCTTTATATCAGCTCTACTCAGCGTGCCACCAACATGGCAACTGTACCAACGATATTATATTTTTATTAATATTAAAGTGGCGCCGAAATAAATATCCTACTGTTGGGAATTTATAGTAAATTTTGATGACAGTATGTACAGTAGCCGTTAGCCGCGTTAGCTGTAGCCGAGCTGTAACGATAGTCAATCGTATTAGCGTTAGCGTTAGCTCAGCAGCTAATCTCTCCGGTAATCCCTCACCTTGCCGTCGTTAGTCTCCATCTCTCTCCGTTCCCTCAAGGTCCCGGTTCCCGCTTCATCCTCCAGCCAGAGCCGTTACCGAGCTCTCCGCTCCTGGACAAACCCACAGCTTGCTTCTCCTGCTGCGGCTACAGCTACACTGAACACTGAAGCACCGGAGCCACAGTAACCAGCCCAACCGTGTCAAAATAAAAGTCTCTTCTGGAAATTAACCACAGTGCTGGTGCGAGTGGATTAGGCACAGCAGTGCTGCTGCTGGACTGAGAACCAAAAACATCTAACCAACAGTGTCCTTGTGGGCAGCGTCCTGTGACCACTGATGAAGTGGTCTAGAGGATGACCAACACAAACTGTGCAGCAGCAGATGAGCTATCGTCTCTGACTTTGCATCTACAAGGTGGACCGACAAGGTAGAAGTGTCTAATAGAGTGGACAGTGTTTAAAAACTCCAGCAGCACTGCTGTGTCTGATCCACTCACACCAGCACAACACAGACTAATACACCACCACCACATCAGTGCTGAAATAATGACTGTTGCATATTTAAAAGTTTGTGAACACCTTTGATCAAACATTTCTTACAAGATCAAGGGTATTAATGGTGAGTTTATTCACTTTTGCTGCAATAATGACCTCTACTGTTCTGAGAAGGCTTTACACTGGACGTTGCAACATTGCTGTGAAGATCTGATTACATTCACCTGGTGAGGTCAGATGCTGATGTTGGATGATGAGTTGTGCTCAGCTGCTCCTGAGTGTTTAATTCTTTTGGTCAGTGCTTTTCTAATGAGATTACAGGAGCTGAACATCTGTGTCAGATATGAGTGACCTTAAAGTAGCTGCGTTCACTCAAGGGCTGTCTGGATACTTTTGGACATGTGGTGTATTTTAAGAAAAGTGATTATTTTTAAGATGATTTAACAGTGGAAAAAGATACGCTGAACAAAAATAATGTGCAAATATTGGAAGAGTGAGAACAGACAGCAATTTGAGGTCCTGTGGACTACAAAATCTACCACCATCATGCTTTACAGTGCATCCACCATGTGCCAGAAAACCGTATAGGCAATATACATTTCTACAGTCATGCATTTGCATTTTAATGTATTTATTTACATTAACTGAATTTAATTCTATTTTTCCTATATTTCCTATGATTTATTCAATTTTTATTTTTTTTAACCACAAAGCAATTAGTGTTGGTTTGTGGACATGTTTTATTAAACCAATCTAATCTTGATTTAATCTAGAAGGTGTTTGGAGCACTGCCACCACAATTGGATTAAAAAGACAAAGTGTTTCTGATATTTTGCAGCGCACAGCCTACACTCAAACCAGTGTTGCTGGGACACAGAGTTTTGTGTTGGCACATCAGGACAAAGCTAGTTTGAGTACAGAGGCTCTTAATTTAGGATACAGCTACAATAAAATGTCATATCACTTCATCTAACATAAACATCCTGCAAGTATTAATGTATTTTTTTTTACACTGAGTTTCATGAGATTTCTGTGATGACCAGAGCCATTGGCCACTTCCTGCTTCCCCCATTATATCAAAATATGACTAACAAAATTTCCAGAGGGCGCCCGCAAACGAGTCCTCAATGAATGGGGTGAACAGAGCTAAACAGCCAAAAAAAAAGTTAAAATAGTTTCCCATCACTCACCCAGAACTTACCTTTCATTTGAAGGTAGAAGGATGTATGTCATTAAAAAAGCAAAGAAAAATGACCTGTATCTATCTTTTTTTCTACAGCAAACAGGTTTTGGGCAGCAGGACATTAGCATTATGCTACTCTTTGCTGACTGGTGAGCAGTACTGCTACCGAGGGCTGACTGGTTAGCACTACTGCTACAAAGTGCTGATTGGTTAGCATTACTGCTACTGAGCATTGATTGGTAAGCAATACTGCTACTGGGTGCTGATTAGTTAGCATTACTGCTACTGAGTGCTGATTAGTTAGCATTACTGCTACTGAGTGCTGATTAGTTAAAATTACTGCTACTAGTGCTAATCGGTTAGCGAGTGAAGCAGCTCATTGGCTGTTTGTGCTCACTGACATCATGAACATACATGAGGCACTTCTTTAAACTCCTGTAACTTGAGTTCAAAAGCTGTTAAAAATATAACAGCAGTGTTAAAATGTTTTATGTTGTTCTCTCTTCAGGAAATGAATGAGTTATTTATTTATTTACTTATTTATTTATTTATTCATTTTGCTCAAATGCTCCATAATAACCCATTCATTTTGGACTCGCTCAGGAGCGCCCTCTAGCGTTTGACAGACCCAGAGGACATTACAGAGTAGTGATTCTCCTCTCTACAAGTTCTCTGCTGATGACTTTTATTTTGGCAGTAACGTCAGATGACTCCAACAGCTGTATCTCATTTCTGAGTAGGAGATTATGCAGGACTCACCTGAGAGGGAGACGCACGAGGACATTCCGGTTTAACGAGGTTTATTTACATAACTCATTTACATACAGTAATACCAACGCAATTACAGGATGATGAGCAATGCAGCAGTAACTGGAACAGTAATAGAACAATATGTGAACAAACATACCTAAAATATATCTTCTATAAGAACATAAGCTCTTAAAACAATTCTATTATTATTATTAATAATAATAATAATAATACACCTATTTATTACAAAACATTAATATACTCATATTATCTCCTTCTCTTTATTGGTTGGCTGATTTAAAAGGCAGTTTCACCCACCACAACAACGAGAACAGAGACAGAGGCTGTATCTGAAACGTAATAAACACTGCTGACTCAGACAGTATTCTGAGGCAGGAAGTCGTGTCCGAACCTAATGTTTGTATAACATTGTCGCCTGCTGAGGCTCCTGATTTTTTAAGGCAGTGTAGATGTGTCCTTCGCTGCCTTACATATCCCATAATCTTCCGATTCTTTTTGTTAGTGGATGAATATTAGAAGCTGTTAAATCAGAGATATTATATCGCCAAATACAAAGTTAGCTAGCTGGCCTAGAGCTCAGTTGTCATAGTTACACTGTAACTGAGGAGGCATGTGACATAAACAAGTCGCTGCAAACAACTTTACACGACATATGAATATGTATTACCAGAGACGATATGAATGAGGAGACGGTCACTGGTTGAAATATGAGCGGGACAGCTCATGACCCTTCAAGAAAAAGAGCTAACCAGCTTGCTTCCTTGTTTGCAGAACGACCCGAAAAAAAGACGTGTTAGTGCGTTACTGAGCTACAACGCTACACACTATTTATGAGGTTTTGTCAGATTTTATCAGTGATTTCAAATCTGTTTTTGACACGATAATTTAACCTTCAGTTTCGAGTATTTTGGTCTCTCCTCGTTCGCAGAGAAGTCTAGTCTTGTAAGGCTGGAGGTTACGGCGTTGCAAAGATGGCTGCCAAGTGAACAGACTCAGCGTGTCCCAATTCAGGGGGAAGGATGCTTAGACCCGCGAAGGCTGAACCGAAATGAGACGGTCTGCTCTATGGCTGCTTTCCTGTTTGTGTCACAGCACCGCTGTTCCCGCCTTTACCGCTGCGTAACGAAACGCCGCTCCTGTCCTCCAGTTCTTTTAAAGTTCTTTAAAGATGAGCTAGAAACTATAATTTTATTTAATTATTTTTTCATTGATTAGAGCTGGAGAGGCTTTCCTCTGTCTGCTCTTTGCTCCCTAAAACAAAACGAAACATTAGCATAAGTTTTGCTTCAGACCACAACTTTTGCAAAAGTTCGAACACCCTGGCCAGATTCACAATTTTAATGCACAACTACTGTTTACTCAAGTTTAACATACTGGAAATCAATAAAACATAAAATATAAAATACACCGTAACTTTTGCCCAGGCCACATTTCATGTTTATTTTTTCCCCAATGTGTAAAAAACATGTGTTAATTTATTGTCACCGGCAAAATCAACAGCTACACATAATTATTTATCTAATAGTAACTCTAATAGTGAGCTTTCATATAAACATTTAAGTTAGCGTTAGATGCTGGTGGGCGAAACGGCGTTGAGAGCATCAGCTTGAGACATAACAGTGATATGTAAATAAAACGCATTAGGTTTTTTTTTTAGGGGTCCCGTTCAGATCCTAAATAGTTAGGCCACTGTTATTATTACAATTATAAAATGGATAGATACTGCCTGAGACGCATTAGGAGCCACTGTAAAAGCCACGTTATACGCAATATGACCGCCTCACAACAACTGAACACTGTATCACTGTGCCACAGCACGAAAAAACCCTTGTGCTGTTAATGGAATAATCTTTGACTCTGTTGCTGCTCACATGGACCACTGAGTGTACAGATGAAGTAAGAACCCGTTTTTGGTTTAAACTGGGCTGGCAACTTGTGTTCTTAACTAGCACTAGGCTGGTCAGATATAATATCACAGGCTTGAATTAAAGCACTTACGGTGTGACTAACTGTAAAACGGCAGTATAAAAGACTAAAAATGTCACTTGAATGTCTTACATGCTTCAAATGTCCGTGTTTCAGTCAGAAGTCGCGTCAAACCCAGGCGGTATCCCAAAAGGCTCAGTACTCCCTCGGTAGCGCTCTAGCTATAAAAGTTTAGAAATTCTAGCCTTTACAGCCAAACAATGCATCATTTATCGAGTCTGGATGTGGCTGAATCACTATTTCTTGGCAGTATTTTTCACCGTTGGGCTGCAGGATCCAGTATTTAAATTCCTATGTAGTGCACTATGTAGGGAGCAAGGAGCCGTTTGAGATTCAGCCTCAGTGTGAAAAGAGGGGCGCTGGATTGGTGCTAAATAAGACTCGCGGTGGTAATTTGGTGACCAAAAAGTATTTATAAAGCGAAAGTTTTGCATTAAAAAGTGCTGTGTTGTCATATGTTCATTATACGACTAAAAGATAAAAAAAATCATGAAATGACTGCAATAGACAGCGATGGGTGACCGGATGTTCTACTTATTTAGTCCATGGTTGCTTAGCAACGACACCATACTCTAAAAGAACTACATTTTTTTGGCGGAATACTTTTTTATGTCGATTATTATTAATAATAACTTGATTTTTTTTTTCTAAAACGTTGTGTATTTTATCATATTTTATGTTTTAATGGTGTAATAATCCAGACTTACTATGATTTTATCAGGGAAGGGAGTTTTACTACAAGAACACCCTTCCCTGTGATAAAATC